GCGGGCGGAGCAGGGCCGACGGGGCCGACGCAGTCGCAAGAGGGGGGCGAGGGCACCAATGGGGAAGAGGCGCGTGGGCGGGCTCGTCCTCGAATCTCGGACCCGTTGCGAGGAGCTTCTGGGGTGATTGACTATAGAGTAAGCGTTGCGAGATCTCAGCGAATCTGCCTCCGTCCTTTTTGTTTTCTCATCGCCGCGTCAGAGATGTGAAACTCTCCGATCCATCCTGCCGATGTTTTTGTCCCCTCCCAATTCGGATTCTTTGACTCATTGATGGCCCGCGCCGCCAGGGTCGCCCCCTTAGCCTATGGGGATTTTCCTCGCTTTATTTCACAGTACCCGTCACACGTGTTCCGCGTCCTCATATAAAGCTCCCTGCCTTCTTCCCCGGTTTGCCGCGCTCTCTGGCTCCTCCGTCCCCTTGTACACTCCCGGCTCTGTACTTCTCCTTCCTTCCATAATCTCCCCTGCGCAACAGTCATGTCTTCCCCCGCCTCCTCCAGCAGTGCCCCCACCAAGTTCGTCATGCCCGACCTCGTCTCGCATTGTACCATCCCTGTTCGCTGCAATCGTCATTGGAAGCAGGCAAGCGTCGAGTCAAAACGGTGGCTCTTCCGCGGCGGCAACCTCAGCCAGAGAAAACGCGACGCATTCCATGGTCTCAAGGCCGGTTACCTGACGTCCATGTGCTATCCCCTCGCTGGCTACCCCCAGCTCCGGGTCTCCTGCGACTTCATGAACTACCTCTTCCACCTCGACAACATCTCTGACGAGATGAACGACCGCGGAACGCTCGGGACTGCAAACACAGTCCTCAACACGCTCTACAACCCCCACACGTCGCGCCCAGACAGCCGTGTCGGCAAGATGACTAGAGAGTGAGTCGTGTCTTGCGATCGCAAGGTGGCCGTCCTGACCGTCACCACAGCTATTGGGTCCGGCTTATTGCCACTGGCTCGCCAGGCGCACAGCAGCGATTCATCGAGACGTTCGACATGTTCTTCCAGGCCGTCACCCAGCAGGCCATGGATCGGGCCAACGGCGTCATCCCCGACCTCGAGTCGTACATTTCCATCCGGCGCGACACCAGCGGATGCAAGCCCTGCTGGGCGCTGATCGAGTACGCGAATAACGTGAGCCGCCCGGCGCGCTTCCGAGCATAATCGGATCATTGGGCTGACGTACTATCATCATAGCTGGATCTTCCGTGGGAAGTCATGGACCACCCAATAATGCGTGGCCTCGGAGAGGCCGCGAACGACTTGGTCACGGTACGTCGCTTTTGTCTCTGTTGCGATCCGTTCACTCGCTGATATCCCTCCCGTAGTGGTCGAATGTTCGTACAGAACTCATTCCGTTCTCGGCCCGCCCAGCTGACCTGACCTTGCTTTTGTTCACAGGATATCTTCTCGTACAATGTGGAGCAGAGCAAGGGTGAGTGCGAGGGTGCAAACGTACTCGTCGCGATAGCCCCCCCCGCTGACAATAAGGATGTTATAACAGGCGACACACACAACATGATCGTCGTCGTCCAGGAGCAGCAGGGCCTCGACTTGCAGGGGGCCGTCGACTTTGTCGGTGATCTCTGCAAGAGCAGCATCGATCGTTTCCACCTCCTCAGGGAGAACTTGCCGTCCTGGGGCCCAGAGATCGACCGCGAGGTCGAGATCTATGTCGACGGGCTCGCAGACTGGATAACGGGCAGCCTCAAGTGGTCGTTCGAATCCGAGCGGTACTTCGGCAAGACGGGCCTCGAGGTGAAGAGGACACGTGTCGTCAACCTGCTTCCTCGTCGTGCATGAAAAGGCACCCCTTCGCTGAGTCAGGCCGGTCCCTGTTAACAGTGCGTTCTTCATTGTGCTCGCAGGGGCCCAGATGCTCATGCGCGTTCCAGGTCTCCTATGCTACGCTCGCCGGCGGGTCCCACGTACTGCCCACATCTACGCAACACGCGCAAAATCTAGTCATCCTTTGTAGCTATATCGCATTTCCCCTTCGCTGTGTATCTTTCGTCCGTTCGTTCATGCCTGCATGCTAGTCTAGATGTCGTATAGACTCCCAATTGCTCTTGGTTTAACCCCCCCGTCGATATGCTTACTTGTTTACCGCTCACATACTATCCACACAGCCTAATCCCCCTGAATGTGTCCCTTTGACGCTGTCGAAGCTGTCCACGATGCTCCCATCGCTATCATTTCGCTTCGTTCTACTTCCGTCCTAGTGGTATCGCAGTTGCAGGTATAATGCTTACTGTTTACCCTACCACACTCCTTTCAGTTTATCGCGCCCTGCGTTTTATATGCAGGGGCGATTATAATTATTTCATTCGTTGTATATATTTCGCTATTATGCAATGGTATACCTGTTGTACAGGTGACTGTAAAAAAAAATTGACCGTCGGCGGCTGTTCTGCAAATGGGGGGGTGTTCCATGCATGGGCTCGGGAGCTTCGCTCGGGCTTTGCGCTGCATGTGAGTGGCCTCGTGTGGGCCTTGAGGCACGAGTGCCCATCTCTGACAACAGCTTCTAGTATTCATTTTCCGGCATGTGTTCGCTCTGGCACCGCGAGGGCCGAAATATCGCCCCGTTCATCTGGAAAGACGCACTACAGCCTCCCGATCCTGCCCCGCGCAGCCGACTGGACGGGCAGAACAATAGCACTGTGTTGCCAACAGACATGCGTGTGGATGCGCGGCAACGCAGGCCGCGTGCGTGGTGGTGCACGACAGATGGGTGATGGATCGATGGGGGACGCATGATGCGGGCGAGTCGCCGCCCTGCCCGCCCAGCCTGCGGTCTGTGGCCTGGGAGTGCCCGGCGACATCTTGACGAGGCCTCCACGGACGCCGGTGTCTCAGCTCACCAGGCACACCGTGACCCACGGTGGAGCATCGGCACCATGTGCACAGGACGCACCAGTGTGATATCAGGATCACGGGCAGGCGCCGTGCTCGGGACCGATGCAGCGCATGCAGATGGTGACCGGGGCATTCGACAGGCTGCTGCGGTAACTGACAAGCACGCATACACCGCGGTACGCCGCCACGTTCACATGCTGACGGCCGCAGACGTGGGCCACACTGCATTTTCCGGAAAAAGAGAGAGCGGTGAAAAATTATGCCTGGCGCATTGGCTGGTTCGGATCTCGTGGGTGAGATGCCGCGGGTCTGGCAGATTTCCAGAGCAGGCCGGCTGCGCTGCCCACTGCCCCGGAAAAGCGTTCAGCCAGGATGGGGGTGCTGAGGCGAAAAGTGGGCGAGGGTCACGGACAGAAGCCGTTGGGGCGCGTTGCAGGGCGTGTGCTCACCACTCGCGGAACGCGAGCTGGACGTGCGGGCAAGTGTATCCGAAGTGAACGCGGATAATACCCGGTGGCCACCCACACGCCGTGGACGGTGATAGAAAGCGGCTGTCTGAAGAGGGCGGAACACGACGCCCTGTGGCACTCGACGGGTGGCTTTCGGCTGCGGTGCGTGCGAGGCGATCGCACCAGACGAAGCAGAAGCACGACTGCACCGGCAGATCCGCGATCACCGAGGGCGATGAACTTCACCGGAAGATAAGCAGGAAGCGAGTACGAGAGGAATATGGGATCCGTCAACAGCCAATGCTGATCAGCCAACCGAATAGAACACCACACAGAGAGGTACGCGCCAATCCAGATAAGCGTTCCCCGAAGCACAAAGGTGGCCACAACGCAGACGGAGATTACCTACGGCGCCAACGCTTACAAACTTCCAACAGCCCCCACCCTCCTGCAGTACTTGCGGCCAGTCTCGTTTGTAAAACCCCCTTGAATGCAGCCAGCAACGCACCACGGGTCACGCGTAGGGAATGCCTGGAAGATGGCTGGATGATGACAAGGCCCGACTTGTGGCAATTGACTCCTGGTCTGAGAATGTGAATATTGAAAGACGGAGAGACGTCGCTAGAGCGTCTTGTCCACGGTACAATATTTCGTCGACCTCGGTCAGGCAAAAGTAGATAAAAGGGATTTACCCAACCAAAACACGGAGCAACCCTGCAGAGGAAGGAACTCGAGGGACGACAAGCGCTGGATCTTCTGTTCACCCTGGAGCCATATCGATCCTGGCATCCCACAATTGTGAGCCCCATCAACGTGGAAATATCATCCAGGTGGTAAGTGGATATGAATCAATGAGACCCGGATACAGTGCAAGTGTCTACAAACCCTGCAAGATTGATTCTAGATCGCGGGTAAATCCTATCTGACAGTCTTCAAGATATCAGATAAAATCCGGGGCAGGATAGCTGGCTACCAGAGGGGCTCATACTGGCCGATGATGCACGCCTATTCCGATCCAAGAAATGGTCTACTCCTTGATTTCAATCATTGCGATCAGGCCCAAGGGTGAAGATGCATAAGTTACGCACGCGCCGACGCTCAGGGCTACATCTCGCAACATCTCTGCGAATTCGCGCAGCTGGTCCGACCAGGTAATTAATCTGGGTATTCTGCAGGTGGGATTGGCTCGACACGCTCCTGGTATAGCACGAGACCTCTGAGAATGATTTGCCGGCACGGTGCTGGTAAGCGAAGAATAGATGCGCAACCATACTTCCACTAGGAAACGGTCCACGGCCGATCTGTGGGCGGATGTGGGCGAATGTTTACGAGCGGAGTCGGTAGCAATCCAAGATCTAAGAGGCAGCGAATGCCTGGCCTGGAAACCCTGGGCCAATAGTCTGTGGCTGGGGCTGTACCGGCCACTGGCCCCAGCGGGAGGGGACTGTGGTGGTGGTCGCAGGAAGAAAGGACGACGGGGCGTCTACTACATAGTCCTGCCACGCCACTTGATCACCGGCCCCCGCCTAACCACACTCGGACTGCTGCATGCCTCCACAGTCGGTCATCATCGCGCGTCTGATTATCCTCTGGTGCTCCACTAGTCTTTCGTGTCAACTAAGCACATACATTCGATCGTCGCGGGAAGACATGGCTAATATCTATGATTAAATGTGCGCAGCCGATATTGTCAAATTCGAAATGCTTACACGCGTTTTCTTAAAATGATATCTAATGCTGCTGTGTCCTGTGCAGCGTGCTCTCCCGACCACAGCTTAGATTGATAGCGGAACAATTCAGCATCGGCAGCGCAGCAATGGCGCGGGCTTGCATGTCCGAGGGGATGCTGCTTGCTTGTTCCCGGGGGATCTAACTGCGTATTTGGTTCTACTTTAAACATGGCATAAGCTTGGGTAGATTTCTTCATCGCCCACGAAGAAATCTGGGTTAAGCTTTATGGCACACTCTGAAGACCTCCTCAATTGTGCGCAGGTGACGAAACAAGTTTGTAGTGTTGCAAATCGACTATTTCTGACGCATATAATCTGCAATAGATGCATCGCCGATACCTTCATGTCTTTCGCGGAGAATTCGTGAGCGTCCTGGCTCCCTCTCAATATATAGCCGCGGCGAAGTGTCTGAAACAAATCAGGATTGTTCTTCGATCCGTCCTATTAGATTCCAATGACGGCCTGCTCAATGAGTTTACCGCATGTCATGAATATTCCACAGATTAGATGGTGTCGGTCTTCGAGCTTGGAATGTAAGCGTCACTCCAATCACGAGGGTATTTATTGACTGGCATATACGCAGCTCACAAAGCTCAAAGCAGCCTTATCAACGTTACCATGCACACAGTTTTCCCGACGACACGCACCCACACGTAGTTCTATCTGTTACATTGGTAGATTCTGAGCAACTTCTGCAAGCCTCTCGCCGAAAGACTTGTCAAGGCAGTCCATGCGTAAATTTACATATCCAAAAGAATGGTCGGTCAACAGCTGCTGCCTCAGGCTGCGTCCCTTTGCCGATGTATTCCAGCACCTCGTTCCAGCCCGATGCCACCGCCTCTCTCCCATCATGCATATCACCTCAAGGACTCCACCTCCCAACATCCCTCTTCTCCCGCAATCCGCCTCAGCCAGTCATCCCGGGCATCAGCGGCCCCGTAAATCTTGCAAAATGCCAGCTGTAGTGAAGGTTCAAGGAGGATCACTTTGCTGCTTTGGGCTAGCGTCTGCAGCTGACGAGACATATGGCCGGAACTCGCAAGGCTAAAAACGGGCACGATAACGATGCGGACAATGCTAGGCATTTCTGAAATCGTGTCTGCACCGTCTTCCGGACTAGGGCGACGTGGAGACGCGGCGGCTTGGAGTATGTCCAGTATCTCCCGGCCCAAGTATAAAACGTTGGTGAGGCGTAGATGGGTCACCAAAGGAATAAGGCCCGTTAAAACAGTCAAAAGCTCCGCGCAGCCCACGAGGTGAAGGCGCCTGAGCGAAGGCAGCTGGAGTTCGCCAGCGCGGGGGCACATTGACACAAACTGCGGCGGGATACCGGGCCCCAAGAGGCTGAGCTCCTGTAAAACAGGGAAGTTGATATCGTGCAGTGGTTGGAAAGACGTTGCATCGGAAGGAAGGCGGGCAAGAACGTAAAAGGGCGATGGCAGTGGCACTATCATGGTTTCGACATCCTGGGCCACAATTCGCAAGACGCGCTCCAGAGTCCGCGTCCATTCAACATAAACCTCTCCCACTTCCTCGAACCATTCCGCCTCGGAGCCAAACATCTTTCGTATGGCGAGCGGATCTTCAGTGCGGTAACGATGGAAGAGGACTGCCCGTACAAGGTCTTTCTTGTTCATACTGGACAGCTCATGCTGCGATATCGACATCCTGGCCAAATCTAATGGGGGTGGACTGCAGGGATTCACCACAAACAAGTTACGCACCCGGCGTCGTTCGGGAGGTGTGCTCTGCAGCATGTTCGCGAACGCGTCTAGCTGGTGCGCACGAAGAATCGCAACGTTCTGTAGGCGGAAGGGGTCTGAAACGCTCCGGATGTATCTCGAGACCCTAGCGAGTGACCGTCCAGTAAGGCCGCCATCGGTGCACGCAAGAGAGGATATGCGCATCCAGATCTCCGCGGGCAAGCCTTCCATGTTACTGGAAGATCACTTCTGGCAGCGCACGACCTTAAGCTTAAGGGTTTATTGTCAAGTTAGCCGGTTGATGCATATTCTCAATCGAGGAATACGTACAATGCAGTCACTTTTCAGCACTCCGAGGGACTCGTCAGCATGTCGAGGAAACGCATTTATTTTGCATACCAGCGCCTCGCGCTTCACACAAGCGCCCCGAGCTAACTCCGAACCAGGTCAAGAGCTAGTCAATGGAAATACAAATACAACAAAACGAAATTTCAATACAGGTGTCTGACACGGAATGTGCGATAGCAACTTGTAAAAAACGATAAACGAGGATTGGGAATTGAAAACGTCGCCGCGTCTACAGTGGCCCCGGAAATGTATAGTATCACGACCTGGACGACGAACGTCTGGTCAAGCGGACGCGATCCACTTTCAAAGGGTCTATGACCCAACACCCGTTCTTCTCTTCTAGTCGCTGTAACCAGTCGCGTCTCGCATCGCTCCACACATACGGCTTCGTCCCTTCTAGGGAATCGGGTTGAATGAAGGTCACCTTGCTGTTCTGCGTCAGCCCCTGCACGCCTCTGATTCGGCGAATGAGCGAGGCATTGGTGGGAACACTTTGGGAGTCGGTGATGATCCGTTCAATTCGAGGAAGGTAGTTATGTGGTACGACTGAAGGAGAGGCCGGATCCGTGTGGTCGGGAGGAATATGGAGAGCAGTGCCGAGGGCATCTACGGCATCCTGGCGCAGGAAGGACAACCCGGTCAGGCGGAGGTGGGTGATCTGGGGGGCCCGCTGTACGAACTGCATGAAAAACTCGGAGCTGTCGACCAAATGGAGGCGCCTGAGTGAGGGTAGCTGTGCCAGATCCCCTGGGGGAAAGGGCCGACGCTGAATAGCGACGTTAGGACCCAGGATTGTGAGTTCCTCGAGCTCGGGGAACTTGTTCGTGAGTAGATATAGACACGAAGACGCGTGTGCGGTGAGCGTCCTTACAGTCGGTGCTACAAACTGCAAGATGGATTCTAGCTCTGGCACGGGTTGTTTTATGGAACGATCAAGAATTTCAGCATTCTCCGACTGAGCTTGTGGACCGAGCCGCTGCCATATGGCCTGCACTTCATCGGAAGTGAGCGAGTAGAGAGCGAGGGTACGAAGGAGCTCTGTTTTCCCTAGGCTTGACAGATCTGGAAAGGCCGCGAGCGTCCTGCGCGGCGGGCGATGGGGGTCAGCGATAAACAAGTGGTGAATGCGGCGGTGTTCAGGCGGTGTACGCTGCAGAATCTCCGCAAAGTCGTGCAGTTGTTCTCTGTCTTTTAGAACAATACTCTGCAGGCGGTATGGGCGTGACACGTCCTGGAAAAATTTGGAGACGAGCGAGAGCGACCGACCGGTGGAACCGTCGTCTGTGCAGGCAAAGGAAAAAATGCGCATCCATAGTTCGACAGCGATGTCCTCCATGCTGATACAGTAGGCTTGATCGATGAGTGCACTGTGGGCTCAGTAAAGGAGGCTTACCTTTAGTCCGTAGACAAGAAGTAGCTACAGTCTGAAGAGGCAGTGCGACATAGACGACTGCGGCCGTCGCCGTCAACTGGGCGTCACTTATTAAAAGCTTTCAATCGAGCTTGAGTCGAATTGACTTCCGGCCTCCGCCTCGACTAGTTAGTCGTGCGGAAAAGAGTCTCTCAGCAAATGAATGACAGTTGGACTTCACCTTGACCGTCCCGGTTCTGTCTTTGCCTGACTTCAGCCACTATGTCGAAGGAGAATGAGAAGATGGTGACAAGAGTCAGACGTAGCGTGGGGTAGGAGACTGGGAGGCGTGGTCATTAAATTGATCTGAGTGAAGTTTGAAACACTGTTGGATGCGCATCTCACCGATCAATTTGGTCGATCCGGAAAGACTCGGCCATGTGTAACTGCTGCTACTGAATTTCCGGAAGAGTAGTATTCATATATAGTACCCTACAGTGCCACACGTACGAGGGACTCATCAGTATGGTGGGTGCGTCGAGGAATTCATGTCACGGCCACCGCAACTTGAACATACTGTAGCACTACTAATACATGAGAATCTCAATACAAATATCTGAATGTGAAGATGTAACACAAAGCAACCCCAGGAGAGCGATAGACAGTGGTTGGGAAAGGACGTTGTGAGTTTCATACCTAAATTGTCATGAGTCGTGGGGCGAACGTCTGTTCGCCGTCGAGGGGTTGCGATCCACTCCCAATCGATCTAATCTCCAACACCCTTTTCTCCCCTCAATTCGCCAAAGCCAGTCACATTTTGCATCACTCCATGTATACGACGCCAGGGTTGTCTCAATATCAGGTCGAATAAGGGTCAGCTTCTTATTCTGTGCTAGCCTCCGAAGGCTCTTCATCCGGCGAAAGTGCGAGGAATTGACGAAGGAAGTTGGAGGTTCAATGATGATCCGTTTGATTTGAGGGAGATAATTAGGCGGCGTAATCGGGGCAGCGGCCTGGTCTGGAGGGATATGAAGAGCAATGCTTAATGCATCTAGGGCGTCTTGGCCCAAATGGAACAACCCAGTAATGCGGAGATGAGTGATCTGGGGGGCTCTTTGCACGAATTCTATGAAATGCTCGGAGTTGTTGACCAAATGGAGGCGCTTAAGAAAGGGAAACTGGGTCAGATCCGTTGTGAGAAGGGTCTGACGCTGAAGATCGACGTCAAAACCGAGGATAGTAAGTTCCTCGAGCTCGGGGAACTTGCTCTTGAGTAGATACGAACACGAGGGCCCGTGTGTCGTGAGAGTCCTTACAGTGGGCGCTACAGACTGCAAGATGTATTCCAGATCGTGAACAAATGCTTTCCTGGAACGATCGAGGATTTCAGCTCTCTCAGATTTAACTTCTGGACTAAGCCATCGCCATATGGCCTGCTCTTCCTCGAAACTGAGCGAGTAAAGAGTAAGAACACGAATGAGCTCCTCGTTTCCCAGGGCAGACAAATTGCCAAAGGCTGCGAGCATTTTGCGCGGCGGGCGAGAGTCGGCAATGAACAAGTGACGTATGCGACGGTGTTCAGGCGATGTGCGCCGTAGGATCTCCGCAAAAGTGTGGAGTTGTTCCCTCCCGCTTAGAGCGATACTCTGCAGGCAGTATGAGCGAGATATATCCCGAACAAGTCGGGAGACGAGGGAGAGCGACCGACCGGTGGAACCGTCATCTGTGCAGGCAAGGGAAAAAATGCGCATCCATAGTTCGACGGGAACGTTGTCCATGCTGGAACAGCAGGTTCGATGGATGAGTGTGCTGTAGGCGCAAAAATACTGCAGCTCACCTTCAGTGGGCGCGTAGACGAACAGTTGGAAGAAGCATCGTAGCCTGAGGCCTGAGGACGCGGCGCAGCATTATCGCGACTCATAAGGCTGGGTCCACGTGGAGTCAGTCAGGCTTGGATCTCCTCGATCTCCTTGAGGGTCTCGGCCGACTAGAGTACTAGCTATAGTTAATTGGGAAGATATTGTCTTGGCAACTTATGTCAACCTTCCCCACCTCGACCATCTCGCTCTCACAGCTCTGCCCAAGTATCAACGAGGACTTCAAATTTCGGAGCGGATGTTGTGGTCAGTCGAGGAACTCTTTTGGATCAGCTATACCGACAATACACCTGATACTGGATAAAGTACACCTGACTCGGATGCTTCTAAGAAAGCAGAGACATGAGGTGCGTTACTAACTATTGCTCAATATCCAAGACGAGTAGTGTTAACGAATTCATCCGGAACGTCCACTTCCCCTTCCATGGTGCTCTCTTCGTCGTCACGCTTACTTCATTCTCATTTCCCCAACCATTTCGTGCCTCTATGCGGGGATGCCATAGCTCATGTACCTCAACTTCCTTCACAACGTTTGAGAAGGCGACTCTCACGGGAGTCTCGTAGCTGTTGCGCTCGCTACGATTCACCACCGCAATCCTCACGCTTTTCTTCCCCGAGTTCGAGGTGTGTACCACGGCGGACGCGTCAAGTTCTGTAGGTCGCCCTTTAACTGTGGAAATCCACGTTGGCAGCGTTTCGCCCATGAATACGGGCGACGAGAGGGCAACCCGGACGGAGGTTCCGCCGCGCATATACTTCGAGAAGAGCCACAAAGGCCAGTATATTGTTTGTCGAAACAGGTCGTTTGGGCTACATAGGTGTGAATCAATATCAAACTGAAGCTTGGTGGTGAAGAAGAGCACCTAGTAATCAATGGCGAAATGACGTTGACGCTCTGTGCAACACAGGCAATCTCGACAATATCTGCCTGGCGCACAAATACATTCAGCCAGGATGCCATCGCCAGTGCATCTGCGAGGGTATAGAATTGCTCCAGCCCGTTCTCTGGCGTGCCGACTGTCTCGTCCCACACGCCGTATTCGTCAAACGCGATCTTGATAGGCTTGTTCACACTCTTCGCGACTCGCTACAATCATCATTTAGTGAGGCTATTTTCTCGATTTTGACTCAATGTACGAACCGCTTTGTTTATCTGCCCTTTACAGATCTCTATCGAATATTCAGCCGCGTCCGGTCCGTATACGCTGCGCCCGTACTCCTTCTCGATCTGCGATCTGTCTCGCGGCCCAAAACCAGTATACAAATGAATACTAAAGTCATGTGAGATTACTCGTTGTAGCATTATATCAATCTGCATTTACCTGTGCAAGTCAACTTTGTCTACAAGAGCGTCTAGTACAACACCGTCCCAGTGGTTCAACCCCGTCTCACCGCAGCCAATTAGAATGACAGTTGGATCAATGAGGCGGATAGCGTGCGCCCACTGGCGTGCTTTCGTCGCGTATGCAGAGGCAGTCTGTTGTCCGACCTGCCACTCTCCCCATACCTCGTTTCCGAGACCCCAATACCTCACGTTATGAGGCTCATCCTTGCCAGTATTCTTGCGCCGAAGGTTCGCATAATATCTTTTCAACAAATAAATGCGTAACTCATCTCACATTACAGAAAGTGACACTCACGTATCCCCGGTGCCATTGCAATATTCGATCCAGTGTAATGCTTCCTCTAGTGTCCCCGTCCCCATGTTAAGGATAATGTAGGGCTCTATCTTGGCCACGCGGCACCACTTTATGAATCTGGCAGCCAGGTTCATCAGAATGCTGTACAATACTACAAGTAGAGGCTCTAACGACATACTCGTCTGTACCAAAGACGTTGCTCTCTTCACCACCCCATGCTAACTCGGGCCTCTTCTTCCTGTGCTCCAATGGACCGATGCCGTCTTCCCACTTGTAGGAGCTCACGTAGTTTCCTCCCGGCCATCGCACCATCGGCGTCTCCAATTCGTCTCGAAGCACTTCCAAGACATCCTTTCGGAAACCTTCTTCAGTTAGTAGTTCCTTCGGAGTCTCGACAAATTGATCTTTGGGGCATGGATTACGCGGCGTGTAGGGAAAATTGGTCGGACCGGCGGGGAGAATGCCTCCATAGATACATCGTCCCAGGTGTTCCAGGAAGCCAGAGAATATGAACGACGAGACGGGGGCGATGGTCGCTGTTGGGAAGACGTCAAGGGCCAGGGTGTTATTTTCTGACATTGGAAGAGAGAGCTAAGGCGTTCTGGCTTTGTCAGTCGACTGGGGTGTCGGTCGCAGACCTTAGGTAAGAGAATTTGAGGGTGCGCATGCCATTATGAAGACTTCGAAACACGCATGGTTTCAATCGCTCGTTGGCTCCATCAGAGTATGACGTGACGGTCCGGCGCGGACCGCCTGCAATGTCTTCTTGGCCCTCTGGTTTCAGATTACCCCATAGTTGGCGCATCATCTACCCCGCATGCCTCGCGTATTACCCCACATTCGTGCCTGTCTCAAGTCCGTATATTTGCTAAACGTGGCTTGTCTAGCCAGTCTCCGCAACTAGATGGTCAGCACGAACAATGTGTCCTGGCCGGCATGAGCTACGATAGCGGGCTTATAAAAACAAGAAACCGTGCTACCTCGATTAGAGTCAGGTGAGCCACCTGTGGAACCAGCCGCTTCTTCGCGTTTGATTGAATTTAGCGAAATTCGAACATCAGCCTGTGTCACGCGGGCGGTCATCATCAACATGTCCCCAGAAAGCATACCTCACCTGGCACGTTATGTGCCTTGCCAGGTTCCGGGTTGGTAGTTTGGAGTCAGTGATCGGGAAGACGGCTTATCACCATCGCGTATCCTGGTTCAATAAAAGACGCGCAGCTATTCCTCCATCTCGTGTGGCCTGTGCCAGGTCGTTGATAGTCGTCAACTCATCACTGTACTTGTCTAGCACTCAAGTTCATTATCGAACTGTCTATAGTCCGTCATGCCACTCTCTCCCAAGGTCCGTGTGGTAGCAACTATTGTGTCCTTACGCTCATCTCTGCTGTCAGGTATACACTTGGCTATGCGGGTTCTTCGCTGCGTTAGGATCGGTGACGTTTGGGTACGACTTAGGTATCATCGCAACTGTCGAGGTGAGTGCAATCTAGGTACTTGATCTCAATCTGCCATTTAAAGGCGTTCTTAGTCAAGCTCCAACTTCTTGGAAATAACCGGTAACCCATCGGAGACGCAGCAGGGGTTGATTACCGGATGTCTTCTCTTGGGCGCATTTGCATCGTACATGATTTCCCTTGATATATGAATGCACGATCTGAACTTACGATCACATCCAGTAATATCTACGTAGGATCGCTCGCCGATCATTTTGGTCGGCGAATGACGATCTTATTCGGATGTGTTGTGTTCCTTATCGGCGGAGCTATCCAGACGTCTGCGCAGAACATAGGCTACATGTATGGAGGTCGTTTTCTGGCTGGCATGGGGATCGGGATGTTGGCCATGCTAGCACCGCTCTATCAAGCAGAGATTGCACATCCCAGTATCAGAGGTCGTCTTACAACGCTGCAGCAATTTATGCTCGGCATTGGTGCGCTGATTGCGTCATTCATTGGCTATGGTTGCTACCACGGTCTGACCGGACAGGCGCAGTGGAGAGTGCCTCTAGGTATGTCAACGTGTATGTACGTATTCTTCTCCTATTAATTATGTTTCCAGGTATTCAGCTCCTTCGTGAGTCGAGTGTTGCTCATACTTTTTTCATTTCCTGATGTGACTGTCCTAGCCGCCGTTCCTCTCGCGTTCTTCATCCTGTAAGATTGAATATAGATCACCGTGGCTGTTATGATACTAAGTATGTGCTTAACAGATTGCTTCCCGAGAGTCCTCGATACCTGGCAATGAAGGGTCGCGAGTACGAAGCACTGCTCGTTCTTGGTCGCTTGCATGCTCACGGAGATATTACCGATCCTTTCGTCGTTAATGAGCATCGTGAGATTCTTGAGCAGGTGCGCCTGGAACGCGAGGAGACTCGTAATGCTTGGTCGCAGCTATTTTTCATCAAGAGTAACCTGCGTCGCCTGATTCTCGGCGTTGCAATCCAATTCAGGTAAATCAAGTGTCCTCGATTTAAGTGGTGTTTTCTAATTAGCTGCTCTCATACTTCCTTAGCATTCAGATGACAGGCGTCAGCGTGATCCAGTACTATGCGCCGAAGATTTTCGCTAGCATTGGTATCGACACATCGACCACGCTTGGCCTACAGTCTGGGAGCTCTGTCATTGCGCTTATTGGGGAGGCGCTGTGCATCTGGTATATCGATCGTTTCGGTCGTAGAAACGTCTTCGTCTGGGGAAATGCTATCTCCGGGCTGACGTTTGTCGTTGGCACCATCATCATAGCCCTCTTCCCTGCGGGATCCAATAATGCGAATGCGAGCAGAGCATTTGTGGCGATGACTTGGCTGGTGCGTAGGACTTTAAACACCCATTGGCAAGTCTGACGATGCGTTCTCAGTTTAATCTGGTTTTCTCTGCTTGCTGTGGACCGCTTTCGTGGGCTGTACGTCTCACATTAATCGACCAAACGTCACGTCCGTTGACATGCCGCCGTAGATCCCTGTCGAGATGTTCAATAGCGCAACCCGTGCAAAAGCAACTGCAATTACCTCCTCTGCGGCATGGATATCAAATTGTATGTGCCATGAGCCCCGTTTTTGCCTCATTTGATGAAGCTAATCTCTGGTCGCGAACTTAGTCATGATCGCACAAGTCAGCCCTCCCGCCTTCGAGACTGTTGGTACGTAGTAGAGTTGGGATGCGCCTTACATTGGCTGATTCATCAACAAAGGCTGGCGCTTCTATCTTACCTTTGCCATTTGTGGATTTACTAATGCGTTATTCTTCTGGGTGAGTCTAACATACCGATCAATGGCTGCAGCAGCTCACACGTGAACCGTCACACAGGCATTCCTGCCTGAAACGAAGGGTATCCCTCTTGAGGGTAAGCTCACGCGAGTTAACGAATACCCTGGCTTGTCGCACTAATACGTAACCCCGGTTTCAGAACTGGATAGCTACTTTGAACAGGTACCGATATTCGTTCCCGGGTCGAAAATACAAATCGTGGACGCTAGCGCACGCGAGGAAGATTTGCGTCAAGGTAAGCCGCAGCTAGGCGGAGACTTCACAGATAAGATGGATTCGGAAAAGGAAGAGATCGAACAAGTACCCTGAAGTTCGATGAATGGGTTATGTCATCCTGTATTATTGTATTAGTGTACTCATAAATAAGAAGAGTCTGTGACCGCTACTCACGGTATCAAAGGTGAATGCGGATTGAATCCGTGTAAAGGGGAATGTAACCGCTATGAATCATTATGTTGGGAATGAGAAAGTGCCGTGGTTTTTATAACAATACGTACTAGGAGTAATGTGGCAATTCTGCACAAAAAAGCGCAGGTTCAAGACGCAATCGGGGCTGACACTAATGCGTCTTGCTACCTCGCTTTCGTGTCTGTCGTCAAATAAATCGCGACCCCCTCTCTGAACAAAAAAATAGAATGATTGAGACGTAGCCTAGTAGTAAACACTGGAGCAAAAGGTGAAAAATAACTGACGGAAGTGGGATTCGAACCCACGCCCTTTCGGACTAGATACGAAAGATCCTCGTAAGAACCTGATTCTAGCGCCTTAGACCGCTCGGCCATTCCGCCTTGCATGCAGATGCCCATAATATGTATTGATACCTAATATACGTCCGGTACACTCCGACAAATCCAGCACAGTCTATCACCTGTAGGTGTAGACAGTAAATTCCTCAACCATTTATGCCTTTCACAGCACATGGTCCACGAGAAGTTCTCCCAGTGGACGAAACCGACACCTAAGTGTCGGCTCCATAGACCCGCAAACACTTTCGCGAGCGACCAAAAACTTGAAGACATCATAGCGCAGGTCCTTCATTATTTGAAGTTGCTAAAAAAGTAGTATAAGGGCTTCGATTCCATAAATCCATGGGCTACGAGTGGTGGACGGTGTGAATTGAGCCAATCCGTTCGTCATGATATTCCCAACCTAGCTTGTGACAATTTCAGTCTATAAAGCATATGAATCAATATCACATATCACAGCAAACATACGGATGCCATGCCTCGAGGCGTTTCTTATTATCGTCAAAGACCAACTCGGTGGAGGCTGCGCTGCGCATCCAATCTTGCGAAACCTTCTGGATTGGAGCGCAGGCGCGAATCGATGAAATTGAAGAGATCATCGCGACATCGACTTTGTTCTGTATTTCGTGCATCCTTTTAGCACTGGGCTCAATGCACAAGTTTGATGACATCTTTTCAAATGACGTCCCGGTCACAAAGATCAGCATAGTTAGCCCTCGTCAGTATTGTTTCGCAAATTGCAATCAGTTGAAGCGAGAAGGATGCCATTTTACCTGACTGCGGGGCCAGTAGAGGCATCAGCCCTACCATGGTCAACGTCTTTGTAAGTCAAAGTTGTGAGAATATATTGTACTCCGAGCTAATCTGAGAGTCTCCAAGATCTGACCAGCGAATATGGGAAGTACCGTCTGGCGCCAATCCCGCTAGATGTCGTCTATTCGTCTATCAAGCAAGCATTAATAGGGCCGCACAGCAGGCGTGCATGCTGCCGCCCAACGGACTAGACAACCATCATAAATGTCGCCGGCGTAAGCTTATGGATCTCTGCAACACGCGGGATCCAGCCACGTACAATGATCCAATGTCAACCTGGAAGACGTACGTCATATTTGGACCGACACAAATATGGAGACAAGATAAGTCAACCGGATGGGCCGACGTCTCAAACAAGTTCCGCCAGACAAATCTATATCCGACTGTCTCAAGGTCGTGGCCGAGGTTAACTATAACGCCAATATCGTCCTCGCCCATCAAACGCATCTAATGAAAAGGTTTCATGTGATAATAATTCAAGGTGTGCAATATCCATGCAATTACCTGAGCGCAGCGGTGGCAGGATTAAGATTACGTCCATGAAAATGACTCTTCGGCATCGGAGACAAAGCTGTTCAAGTGCTTATTTTGCAAAGAGCTGATACCGCTGGAATACTCTACCGCTTGCGCCATGAGAGGGCTCCCGCCAGTAACATGAAAACATTTTCTCTGACTAGAACTGACCGCAAAGAGCATAACAGAAGCTCTCGATGTGAGTAGTACATCCGGGCAAAACAGCAGCAAAGGCGCAGTAGAGGTGGTTAGTTATCGAACTGCATCGAAAAAAAGAGCCTTCCAAAATAGGCAATATCATGGGTCGGAGCTCGGCTTTCCCCGGCTACAGCTGATTTTTGGAATACGGCGCGGTTCTGCGAACAATGCATTTAGCATAGGCTCATCTCGCTACACCAGCTCTTATCGCGTATATTCCGGATTCCAATGTCGCAACAAGCGAAAGCGGGTATGAAGCGCAAGTCGCGCTCGTCGAAATTATTATCCCGGAAAAAAGCCAAGACGTCGCATCTAGCCGCAGACGACCTGCCCTGGAAAGCCGTGTCGCGTCCCAGAGAGGCGGACCTAGGAACTGCGTTTGACGGCTTCATTGAGCTGGAGGAGGTGGAAGATGTAGAGGTTGTGTATGAAGAGACGGATGCGGGAAAGGTCATCAAATTTAAGGTGCGTGGCGTGCTGTTGTGACCTCCGGTTTGGTTTTTCAAGTGGCAATGCCAGGTGCTAGACGATTCGTCATCGCCCCTGGGCGTTATCGTTGTAGATGAGAACGAGAGAACCAGTGCAGAGGTTGAGAACGTCCCCATTGAGCAGCCCGCGCAGGAGGAGGAACTTCCAGTGTCTGCTTTTGACTGTGAGTGCCCCCATCAGTAGACTTGTCTCATTCAGCTAATACAATCTATCGAGTGCACAGACGAGGCATTGCTTCCTCGGTGGAGCCCGTTCTCTCTGCACCCCCAACTCGGCCGGGCACTATATGCGCAGCATTTCAGCTCCCCGACGCCTATCCAAGCCGAGGCACTCCCGCTCGCGAGGAAAGGCCGGGACATCGTCGGAGTCGCGGAAACGGTATGTTAACCTCTCTTGCATGATATCCACATCGCTGACCATCGCGGGGATTTCACAGGGCTCCGGAAAGACTCTCGCGTACGGCCTTCCCATCCTGCACCACCTCTTGGCACACGCATCTCCCGCCGAGAGCAAAACCCGACGTTCGGTGCGTGCGCTGATTCTCACGCCTACGCGCGAACTGGCATTGCAGGTCTCCTCGCACCTGAATGCGTGTCTTAACTCTGGGGACATCGGTGAAGATCCCGCTCCGGAAAGTAAATCAAGCCAGGGCAGTTCGACCAGGAAGAATGCAAAGGGAAAGGGTAAAGAAAAAGTGACGAGCGGTGCACAATTGCTGAGTGGTCGATCCAAGGACCCACCGTTAGTGAGCGTTGCTGCAATCGTGGGAGGTATGTCGGCGCAGAAGCAGCGGCGGATATTGTCCAGAGGCATCGACGTGCTTGTGGCTACTCCGGGTCGGCTATGGGACATCATCCAGGAGGTATGTAACGTGCTGTTAGAACGTCATTGTCTTGATGTCGCTCTGCATCTCGCTAGTAGCTTAAATGATTTCCAATGATGTAGGACGATGAACTTGCGACCCAGATCGAACACCTGCGGTTCCTCGTGCTGGACGAAGCTGATCGCATGATTGAGACCGGTCATTTTGCAGAGATGGAAAGCATCCTGCGGCTCACGCTCCGTCAGAGAAAGTAACTTTGTTTCGCGTTTGGGCTATACGATTCACCTGCTGATACGTATTTTTACTACAGAGAAGATGAAATCGAGTCTGAGCTAGATTTGGGGCTAGGAGGCGCTGAAGCTGAATTCGACGTTGGTGAAAGCAAAGATGGTGTGAAAGAAGGAGAGATGCAGACTTTCGTATTCTCTGCAACGCTGAGCAAGGATCTGCAGCGGAACTTGAAGAAGCGCGGACGAGCAAGACCCTGGAAGAAAGGCGGCAAGCCTGCTTCGACGCTTGGTGTGTGGTTGAACTCGCATCGGGGGGATAACTGAAATGAACATTGTGACAGATGATCTACTCATGCGACTCGACTTTCGTGATGCCTCACCCGCTGTGATCGACATCAGTCCTGAAGGCGGTGTCGTCGCAACCTTGCAGGAGAGCAAAATAGAATGCCTCGTTACAGACAAGGTGTGCAAAAGTCCCATCATCGCCGTATTGTGAAAGTACGCTTAAAATCCAATCAGGACGCATACCTTTACTACTTCTTACTTCGGTATCCAGGACGAACCTTGGTATTCTTATCCTCGATTGATGGGATCCGACGACTGCTTCCCCTCATGGAATTGCTTCAAATATCTGCATTCCCTCTGCACTCGCAGCTCGAACAGCGGCAACGACTGAAAAACCTCGATAGGCATGTAATCGCGTATCGACTTATTCTATTATACCATTATCTAAACAGGACACGGTAGATTTAAGTCTTCCTCCCGTGCTGTCCTACTCGCCACCGATGTCGCCGCTCGCGGATTGGATGTTCCCGCTGTGGATCACGTTGTGCACTACCAGGTCCCACGCACAGCGGATACGTACGTGCATCGGAACGGGCGCACAGCGCGCGCGGCGCGACGCGGCTTTAGCTTGCTCATGTGCGCTCCGGACGAGCGGCGGCTTGTTAAGGCGCTCATGAAGAGCCTGGGACGACGTGCGTCATCTAATTTGGAATGATCCTTGATGCCCTATCAACATGCTGACTTCTCTTCTTTTCTATCATGACAGAGGAAGATGAGATTCCGGAAATGTCGGTAGAATTATATCTACTGGACAAGCTTAAGGTGCGCGTCCAGCATGCGCGGCAGATTGATGCGACCCAGCACAAGGTGAAGAAGGAGAAACATGAAAAGAACTGGCTGAAGGAGACGGCGGAAGCTATGGAAATTGAGCTGGACTCGGACATGGAAAGGTTTGTCTCTATTTTTTGATATGATATCGGTTGGGCATCAACGGGACCATGTGCAGCGATTCGGATGGCGAGCGTACAAACGCTCGTTCGAAGCAGAAGCGCAGGGCAAATGATGCGAAGGTTGCTGGCATGAAGGCCGAGCTGAAGCGGCTCCTTGCGCAGCCGCTGGTTGCCCGCGGCGTGTCGACGCGATATATCACATCGGGGAGCGTGTCGATTGCGGACGAGATTCTGGCAGGCGAAGGTGCGTATATGGGTGCGATCGTGCTTACGCTGCTTCGGAGACTAAAGCTTGGAGTTGACAGGACATGAGGCGATGGTGGGAGTTAGAAAGGCACAGGCGGGGAGCGAGCTGGTGAAGGCGAAGAGGAGCCGTGCGATGAAGCAAGTAAAAGAGGAGGAGGAGGAGGAGGAGGAATGGCATGGGATCTTGAGCTAGCCCGGTGAGACGGGGGGGTGCGCTGTAGACTCGTCTATGAAATTTACGCCCAGACCTGAACCGAACCTTCCGGATTAGGGCAAAGAGACCGGGGGAACGGATACCGCCTAGATTGGCACTGGCGGGGGGGCGCC